GGTTCTAATTGCCTGTGTCACTATGTCCAAAACACTTTAGCATTCCCTCTTTGTCTTTTCAGTTCTCTGATATACAAGATTCCTTACATTCTCTATCTCTAAATAACTAGTGAGGTTCAGTAACCTGACCAGACCCTGACTGACATAAGCCCTCTCTGCCTAAATACACCATTGCAGCTTGTCTATCTGCAGCAGCTACCCAGTATGAGGGAAGAAGGGTGTAACTCGGGCACATTCCCAGGCTCTCAGATATTAAGTGGAAGTCATACCTTATCATCTCTTGGATTTATTTTTTTAATAACTTTTAAAAAATTCATTCATTCTGAGAGAGATTGTGTGTGTGCAAGGGGGGGGGGGGGGCAGAGAGATAGAGGAGAGAGAGAATCCCAAGCAAGCTCCATTCTGTGCTGTTAGCACAGAGCCCAACTTAGGGCTGGAAACTGTAAGATCATAACCTGACCCAAAATCAAGAGTCAGAGGTTTAATTGACTAAACTACCCAGGCGTCCCTCATTTCTGGAATTTCTTTCTTTTTTTTTTTTTTAAATAGTTTATTGTCAAGTTGGTTTCCATATAACACCCAGTGCTCATCCCAACAAGTGCTCTCACCCATGCCCATCACCCCCCTTCCCCTCTTCCCCACCCCCATCAGCCCTCAGTTTGTTCTCAGCATTCAAGAGTCTCTCATGGTTTGCCTCTCTCCCTCTCCCCAAATATTTTTTTCCTTTTTTCTCCCTCATGGTCCTCTGTTAGCTTCCTCCTAATTCACCTATACATGCAAACATATGGTATCTGTCCTTCTCTGCCTGACTTATTTCGCTCAGCATAACACCCTCTAGTTCCATCCACGTTGCTACAAGTGGCCAGATTTCATTCTTTCTCATTGCCATGTAGTATTCCATTGTATAAATATACCACATCTTCTTGATCCATTCCTCAGTTGATGGACACTTAGATTCTTTATTTCTGGGATTTCTTAACTTCAGTCTCCATTTATCCACCACTACTACCCAACCTTCAGTCTTACTGGAGTTCACACACTATGTGGGGAAGCATGAAACAAGCCTCACATTCAAATATCAACTCCATTGATCTGCTATCTTTCTCTATTCTTATATATCCTTCCAGTCCAGAGAGGCTTTCTCATTCAGTACAGCAGGAAGCTACCCTTATGTTGCTATTTTCCTATTATCTTTCCTATAGTAAGATTCTTGGATTTCTGCCATCACCGAAATGGGGAGAATATGCCCCAGCTATCATGCTGGTCCCAGTCAAATGGTAGCTTGCAGAAGACTTTCCCCAGAAAACCTGCAGCCTGAAGTAAGCTTCCCTACCTGAACTGCAAAATTGTATGTAATAAATATTTTTCATTTTATGCTACTAAGATTCTGAGTTTATTATCCAGAAATAGCCAATTAATACAGAAGTTAGAACTCTTGGCCAACCTCTAGTTCTAGAATATTTAAAGGAAAGTAGAAATTAGGAAAGACTTTAGAAATAGAATAGAGACTTCTTTTCATTTTATTACAAAGCCATGACCCCCACAATTATTGTCTCTGAAGTAAACTTCAAGAAATGTTTCCCAAGTCAAAAACTCAACATTTATTCTGTCTCTTTTCATCCCTGACATAGCAATACCATGCAAGACAGAGGTGCCTCAGGTAGAAGAAGATGAATTTCACTTTTAAAAAAGCATTAAAAAGAAAAAGACATTACCATATTTCAATATACACTCTTCATTAATATTATAGAATGATGAAAAGAGAGCATAGGGTTTGGAATAGGACTGACTTTACTTTGAGCCATAACCCTGCCACTTATAATTTTTATAGCTAACATATTCATAGGTTACTAACACAATGAAATAAGTGTTATAAGCAATAATATACTTATTTCTTACTATGATCCTATTGGTCTATCCCTATTTAATTTACCATCCCTACTTAATGCTTGAGGAAACTGAGATTTAAAGAAGTTGCCTAAGTTCATTCACTTAGAAGGTGGAGTAGAAATTTTAAAAAGCATTTCTCTGATTCCAAAGCTTTTGCTCTTAAACTTTAACCTGTTTAGGGATGAGAATCAAAACGTTTAACAACTCAAGTTATTATAAATTAAAATACACAAAAATACATAAATCAACATTTATTTTTAATATTCTCTTCATTCTCAACTCTCTGTATTATAAGTCTGTCTATCAAATAATTAAAGCTGTAGTGCAAATTGTTCACCAAATAATTCTAATAAATTCAGATCATTTCTTAATCTTTAGAAAAAGTTGCTCTAATTTTTTGTGACTTTTTGATACCATTGTCATTAGGCAAAGGAGGCCCCTTTATAAGCCATGAAGAGATCTAAGAAAGTGTATGAAATTCTTCCAATGATTTTCCCACTAAATTGATAATCATAGTTAATTTTTAGTCTCTCAATAACTAGAGGAAAGTTATTAACTTCAATATTTTTCATAATGCTGAATCCTCTCGTGGCTTCTGGTAAAAAGAAATTACATTTAAAAAAGGTTCTATTTCTTATAATGTCTGAGATCTTTACAGTCTTATCTCTTTTGTTTTAAATCATAAAAGTAATTTATTATACTATCATATTTATTTTATGTAAGCCTAATTCTTTAAGTCAGAGAAGAGTAGCACAAAAAGAGAATGAACTCTATTGCTAGACTGCCTCCATTTGAATTCTACCCTGTCATTTAAACATGTGACTCAGTTTTCTCATTTTTAAAAATGACCATAATTATAGTACTCAAATGAGTTACTATACATTTGGAATGGTTCCTGGTACAGACAAACACTATAAGCATTAGCACTTATTTATTAATAAAATTAATTAGTTAGTATCTGTGACAGATTTTTTTGTTTTGTAACAATTCATGTCATTAAATGAATATAAAATGTAACAGATTCTCAGCAGCGACTCCCCTAACTACATTCAAAACCAAAAAGTCCAACACCAGTAACTTCTCTCAAATCCTCTGGTGATGTCCTCTGGTGGTTTCACTCCTAACCTGCATAGTTTGCCCTTTGGAGTTGTAACTGTATTAATGAATCCTCTTTGAGACTACCCACTATGAGTCTTAGGCTTTGTTTCATTCCCTAGAGGCCTCTAGGTTACAATTAAAATTCAGTCATCTAGTTTGGCAAATATCCTCAGGGCAAAAGTGAGCTTCACTGCTCTACTTACCACTCTGGGTCCCTCCTAAATTTAGCCTTTGCCTGTGCACTTGTTTCTTTCTAGTTCTTGAAGCACTTACAAATATGTTCTGCTTCTATTTTATCTAGAATTTTGGTTATCAGAGAATGAGTCAGTCCAGGAACCAGTATACCACAATGGTATTCCAAACACATAACTCATGAGTACTATTTTTATTTTTATTTTATTATTATTTTAAAATCATACATTCACAGCATAAATAAAAATCAAATCATAGATGAGTCTAAAATAAACAGTAAAATTGTCCTCCCTGATCTCTGCCTGCTTCTATTCCCAGAAATAACTTAACAGTAATTGGGTTTCTTAGAGGTTGGAATTTTTTTAATTTACCATTACAAACTTAATATAAGGACTTATACTGTAATTTTTCAACTTTTGACATTTGTTGACTCTGCATACTATAAGAAATTTTTACTGCTTCACAAACTTTTACCTCTTTCTTGTATTATTTTATTATTGATATTAAGTTTTCTAATATTTACATTTTATATTATAACTGAGACCTCTGCCATTTGTATAGATTAATCTAAAACCAATCAGTATTAAAATGGAAATTAGAATATTGAATTTATTGCTTACCAACCCAACTAGGATGGCCAAACACAAAGAGAAGGAAATAAAATTCTGTCACCAAATCCCTGACTCTTGAAGAATGACCCATGAATGAGCTAAAAATGCCTTCTTTATCAGTTTGTTTTCACTTTACTTCATTCAGGAAATGCTCAGTTTCTATTCTTCTCTAAGTTTATATCACTCTTCTCTCATTTCTCATCTTCTATTTTGCTGGAGCATCTTTATACATGGAAATGAAGAGGTACTAAATATCCAGGCTCTTGTGTGCCAGAAAATTGTTTTCTTGATTCATTTAATTGGATTTATATTGTATAAAGTCAGAATTCTATATCCAAAATTATCTCCTCTCAGAAATCCATCATTTCCTAGCTCTGAAATGTTGCTAATGCTACTGGGAAAGTGTTTGATAACAGGATGTTTTTCATCCCTCTGTAGGTGACCCAGTTACTCTTCTCTGTGGAAGATTCCAGGGTATTTCATTTCTAGCCTTCTGAAAATGCAGAACAATGTGAAGGGGATATATGTCTTATAAAATTCATCCCCCTTGATATTTTGTTGAGTTCTTCTAATTACAGACTTGTGTCTTTATTCAGCTCAGGAAAACGTACTGTTATTTTTTACCATCAAATGGTCCTAACTACCATCTTAGCATTCCATTTTTGGAATGCCTAATAAACAGATGTTTACCTTGTTTCTAGCTTCCATTTATCATATATTCACTCTCTTTGTCTTTTTATATTAAACTAATATTACGTTGTAGTTAAAAATAACTTATTTTATTGGGACCATGTAAAAGGAAAAGAGATATATGTTTATATTTTTAATATAAAAGCAGAAGCCTGAGTTTTTTAATATTTTCATATGAAACTTACATAAAATGTTGGAAATCAAGTGATATATCCTTTCAGATTTCAGTATACCCATATACATATAAATTTTAAGTATATAGGAGGTAAATTTTCTAATTTTTTAAAAATATGGAATGCTTCAGAGATGCCTGGGTGGCTAAGTCGGTTAAGTGTCCAACTGCAGCTCAGGTCATTATCTCACAGTCCATGGGCTCAAACCCCACATCGGGCTCTGTGCTGACAGCTCAGAGCCTGGAGCCTGCTTCAGATTCTCCTCCCCCCCAACATCCTGCGCCTCTCCCATTTGTGCTCTCTCTTTCTCAAAAATAAATAAAAATAAACTTAAATAAATAAATAATAAAATATGGAATGCCTCACAAATTTACATGTCAATTTTGCACAGGGGGCCATGTTAATCTTCTCTTTATTGTTCAATTTTAATTTTTATGCTGCCAAAGTGAACACTGTAATATTTTTATTTAAAGTGAAATTTATAAAACTAATCCCATTATTTCATAAGTTTAAGATCAATTTTGATATGAAATCAATAATTTGTATTTTTCATTACATATATATTATACATCCACAGGTTTGATGGGTATCTTATTTGCAGAAGAGCTTCAAAAGCCAAAATATTCTATGTGACTAAACAATTCTGCTTCTTGGGTAAGCAAAGTCCCACCCAATATTTGCAATAACAAGTGTTTCATGTCAAAAAACAATATGAAAAAAGAAGTTTCAAGATCCAGTGAGAGACCAAGGTAAAAGAGAAAAATTTAAATTAGGTAAAAGCAATTGGTAGAGTAACTCATCTTTCTTTAGGGCACATCACCATCTTTTTTCACTACCAACAAATTTAGCATATATATATGCATTCCTATGAGTACCTTCAGAGATTTGCATTTTTTTCCTAGTAGCTATAATATTATAGAAATAACTATGAATCCACTAAATATTTCTTAAGCTTTAAACTAGGAATAAATTACTTCTGACATACTTCACAGTGGATCCCACCATGTGTACAATGACTTACTTATGAAACAATACAACCATAAAATTGCTCAAGATAAAGAAATGATCTATTAAAACAACACATTTATTTAACAATTATGAGAATCTCTTACATGTCAAGAACACTGCTAGATGATTTTAAACTCTTTTGAACTTACAGCTACAAAAACATCATAGAACCTGATGCCAATTTTGACCTGATCTCCTACATTCAGTCAACCAAAGTCTCAGGAAAAAATAAGTGTATTCCTGATGACTCTCACCAAATTAGTCTCATTTGTATGACTTTTCAGACATTCACAATTGTATTAACTAGTAAATCAACTCTTGGCACTGTGAACCTACTATAATTTTATGTCAACAAGCAATACTACTTCTCAAGTTTTAAAACCTGGTTGATGAGCCTGTTTTCATCATATTTTAGTAAGAATATCTTATAATGACAGTCCAATTTTTTATAAAGATTTATTTTAGCAATCCCTATACATTGAAGTCTAACTTTTTAACTGTAAATTTCAAAATGTTCTTTTAGTAAAATCAACCTGGATGAAACAGTCAAGTATCCATGTTTGAATGTCATCTGCTTTATGTATTTCAACTTATTCAATACTAGCTTTTTATAAAAATGGAAACTTAGAAAAAAAATCATATCAACACAATTTAAAATATAGATTAATATGGATTAAAAAATCACTATAGAGTCTTAGGTTTCAAGGTCGATTCAAATGCTTCACAAATTTTGCTAAACTTTAAAAACTGGAAGTATCAGGGTACCTTGGTGGCTCAGTCAGTTGAGCATGACTCTTGATTTCAGCTCAGGTTCTGCACTGGGCATGAAGCCTGCTTCAGATTCTTTCTCTGTCCCTCCCTCTGCACCTCTCTCCCATTCATGCTCTCTCTCAAAAAAAGAAAAAAAAAAAAAAAAAAGAAAAGGAAGTATCATACTAGTCAAAAAGGTTTACAATAGCCTACCAGGTACCTCTCTCAGATTCTAATATACTGTTCATGTTATTCAGCCCCCTCCATGATTCCTAGATTACAAATAGTTTGGTTATAAAGGAGTCTTCTTACCTTATTTGACAGTTTAGAAGTAGATTTTTCTCTTCTTGACAAGAAAGCAGCATATTGGTTAGTCAAGTTAGGTAGTTGATCAGAAACTCCACCAACCTATGAATTCCAAAAAGCATGTTGAAAAAAGAAATAAAAAAGAATATGTCATTTCTATTCATCAATTCAAGTGGCCCTATAGGTAATAAATTTACAAGGAAGCTCATCAATGTTGCTGTGTCATTAAATAGAGATGGATATATATTCATTACCAATTAAAAATTTTTAATGGGATACAGAAAGACTAAGTCAATGAGATATTAAAATGAAAAAAAAGAATTGATTATATGGACCTCTAGAAAAGTAAGATAGATCTACATACATTATTTAAACACATTACAAATGAGTTATTATCTATACTCTAATGTCAAATTTGGACATCAATTCTTGTTTTATTATATATATATTATATATATTATATATGATATGTAAAATATATATAATATATATAAGTGTATATATACACATATAAATACATATATAAAGATATTTGGTCAATTATATAGTATTATTTGTTTGTACTTAATTATTAATACATGAAATAAAAATATATTAACAATAACTATTTAAATTGATTATATGAAAATCCTGGATGAATAAATTTTCTAAGCAAAATAATCTACACTCTCTTAAATACTATAGTTCCTAATATGCATTGAGTATGTACATTAATAGGCTACATGAAGCTGGTTATCTAAAAACTTAAATAGTAATTAATTAATCCTTTTGATATTATACTCTTTCTGAATCATCATATAAATTAGCCATTTGTATCCATTTACTATTTTAAACTGTTAACCAATAGTAACATTATTTGCATATACAAAGGGATGAGAATATTCTCATTTTCCCATTTTTATATACTTTATCATTTGTATCTCAGAATTTGATATTCACAGTTAATACTTCAAAATTTAATACTTAGTAGATCTCTCTTTGTGCACTTTATGAGGAACATTAATCTACTAAAAAATCCATCCTTCACATGATGATGTATCTATGAAACTATGTGCCTCTCTACCCTAAATGCTGAAGCTAGTGCTTCTCCATTCTTTTCCTAATATTATTCCTACCTAGTCACTCAAAAGAAAACAAATTTTATCATTTTCAAAAACAGAAAAATCACAGTAACATCTTGTGAAAGCCTCCAAATATAGAACATCTGACCCAGCATTATTATTTTGTGTGGTTTTATATTTACTGAAGTTAAAAAAATAATATACTTTTATAATAACTTTATTATCATGTACCGATACTAAAAATTATAGCATAAAGAAGTTCAAAAGCATTTTGCAATTTTTACTGTTTATGGGTAGAAGTTCAGAAAATGAATCAGTCATTGGGTGACTTTGGTGTTAGAGGGAATGGTAAGTTAGCAGGAGACCATATTTTTACAAAAATAATTTAAATCTAGATAAAATATAAGAAAACCTATTTTTAAACACCTTATAGAGTTGCAGATACTTCTAACTTTGAGTTGTCAGCATAGACCAGAGGGGCTAAGATTCTAAAGAGTGTAGAACCTCTGAAAAGTAAGCTATTGCTCTATAGGTGCTTTCTCCCTGGTGGAAGTTGCTCATCAATAGGCAACAGAGAAAGAATGTGAGTTTAGATCTGGAAGAGAGCACTGTTAAAATATTGAGAAATAAGCTTATTTTGGTCTTGTTAAGCCAGAATGGCAAACTTAGATATTTAAGAAGCCTCAAATGCATGATTTCCTTCCCCGCGAAGATATCTGCCAGTGGATAAGGGATAGGGTGATGCTAAAAATCTGAACCAAAACGCTAAAAAACATACGCATTAAAGATTGCAATCCAGAATCTGACAAAGCGAGGGCTCTTGAACACATCAGGCTCACAGCTGAAATCCCCAGAGACTACACCTAAGCAAATGAACAAACCAGAGGTAAACTAAGCCCTAGAAAAACTATAATCACCACAATTTATGATTGCTTTAAGGTGATCTCCTCTGACTTCTGACTTGCAAACTATAAAATCTCTCTAATAGAAGGCAATACCATTTAAAGTCTCTATATCATATACAATATCTGGCATTTTATTAAAACTTAGTGGGCATGCCAAAAGACAGACATTCATGATCAAAACTCAAGGGAAAAAATAAAACGGAAAATAACAACAATGATAGGTGATCCAAATGTTGGAGTTAGTACACAGAGCTTTAAAACAGCTATAATTAATGTGCTTAAGAAAACAGAAACAAAATGAAAAAGAATAGTTAAAACATTAATAATTTCTCCAGAGAAATGAAATCTTTAGAAAGATTTAAATAGAATTCACTCTAGAAGTGAAAAATAGAATATCTGAAATTAAGAATTTAGGTCAATTTAAAAACATTTGAAACAGGTTTTTTTTTTTTTTTAAAGATTAATGAATAGAAAGATATGTCTGCAGGAAATACCTAACTGAAGCACAAAGAGAAAAAAGGGAGCATCATACATAGGGATTATAAGAGATGTTTGAGGCATAATGAATAGGTATAACATATATATTAATTAGAGCCCCAAAAATCAAGGCAGGAAAGAATGTGACAGAAGAAATATATAAAGATATAATAGTCAAAAATAATTTAAAAGTGATTAAAGACATCAACCAAGAGGCTCTGCAAACTTCAGGCAAAGAAATATAAGAAAAATCATACTTCTGACACATCAAAGACATAGACCAAAAAACGGGGGGGGAGGGGGGGCAATTGCTTTCAAGGGGAAACAGTAAGTTTGACAATATACTTCTCAATAGAAATTACAGAAGGCCTAAAACAATGGAATAACATATTTAAAGTGTTGAGAGAATATAACTACAAACCTAAAAATCCAACCCCCCAAAATTAAAAATGGCAAAATAAAGACATGTTTAGACAAAAGTATACAACAATTCATCATCAACAGTATACAAAAGAAGCACTAGAGAAAGTTTTTCAGGAGGAAGAAAAATGATATGATTTAGAAAAACAGAAATGTAGAAAGAAACAAAATACAACAGAGAGAGTAAATATTTGGGTAAATATGAATGAATATTGACCGTACAAAACAGTAATATTTTAAAAATTTAAAATATATGTAAACATAAAATGTATGACAATAATTAAACAAAAATAAGAGGTAATAAAGCACAGCTAAAATGTTAAAAGTTAGCATTATTGGAAAGGTAATAAAAGTAATCCTTTTTATTAAACTACAAAAAGGATGAATATTGTAATTTTGGTGGCAACCACTAAAACACTATAAAACAATACATAACTAAAAATGCTATAGGAATAGATGAAATCAAAAAATATAAAATATTTGATTAATTCAAAAAAGGTGAGGTAAGAAAAATGCTAAAACAAGTGAGCCAATAGAATATATGAAACAATATGTTCCTATATAAACAAATCTATCTGTAATCATACAAAAAATAAATGAATTAATATGCAATTAAACACAGTTTATCAGAGTGGATTTTTAAAACTCAGACATGTTTACAGTGTATCTTTCACTCTTGACTATAGTTTATTAAATTTCATGTAAACTAAAACAGTTCGGGTTATACCAATAGGTAGTTTTTAATTGTCAGTAACAGTAACAAAAGTTATTAAGTTCTTATTATGTGCCAGAACCTATTTAAAGTATTTTCCAACTATTGATTCATTTAGTATTCATAACAATGCTTTAAGGTGTGTACAATTATGATATCCATCTTACTAACAATTTAAACAACTTACACAAGGTCAGTGACAGAGCAAGAAAATATACTTAACTACTCTCAAGTACTCTGAGATCATGCTCATACTCATTGTGTTATACTGTCTCAGCATATGCAGTGGAGAATAAAGATTATAATGAGGGCTTTTTAAAAATTTCTTTCAAGTTGTAATTTTCATAATTCTTTTCAATCTAAATGTCAGGTTACTTGGAATAATGAACTTCTAGTACATTTAAAACAAAATACAACAAAAATATTCTAAAACCTACTAGTGCTCCTGATACACGTAAAATACACTCAGTCAACACTTAAATAAATGGTTAAGATAGTAAATTTAATACTATGGTTTTTTTTTTACCACATTAGAATATATATAAAATAAAATTTTGTAATAATTCATGAAAATCTCACTTTATAAAATTTTAATTGTTGTTTAAATAAGTAAAACTTTCATTTACTTTTTTCTTTTATGCCTACGAATCTTCAGCATCTCTTGGAAACTGATAATGATTTACAGCTGTTCTTTCATTACAATGAGATCTATTTCAGCTACATCTGAAGCTTTTAACTAATTTAAAGCACTAGAGTGATAACTTTGACAGCATATATACTAAAACTGGAACAACACAGAGAAGATTAGAACCCTGTGTAAAAATGACATGCAAATTTAATTTCATTTCATTTTTTAAAAGTGTTATAGGGGCACCTGGGTGGCTTAGTCGGTTAAGCGTCCGACTTTCGCTTAGGTCATGATCTCACGGTTCGTGGGTTCGGGCCCCGCATCGGGCTCTGTGCTGACTGCCAGCTCAGAGCCTGGAGCCTGTTTCAGTCTGTGACTCCCTCTCTCTCTGACCCTCCCCTGCTCACGCTGTCTCTCTCTCTCCTAGAAATAAATAAAAAACATTAAAAAAATAAAATAAGAAAAATAAAAGTGTTATAAAGCACTAGGATATTCTTACATTACCACGATAAATATCATAGGATTCATTCCTATAAACCATATGTGTTCCAGTCTTTCTAGGTTAAAAATACTATTCTCTGATAGGAAGAACAAATCCAATTCAGCAGTTCAGTGGCTCTACTATCCTTATACTATCCCTACAGAGTTCCTATCTTTCTAGCTACTTTTTTTTGTCAAACTAAACTTATACAAACTAATTTTTATTTTCCATAGTAGTTTTTACAACAAATTGCCTTTCTCATTAAGCTTCCTGAATTACAGTTCTATGCCTCTCTCTTTTCTTCATTTATTCAATTATATTTATATTCTATTTATATTATATTCAATTATAATTTCTTGAGTGCCAACTAGAGTACAGACACCATGTTTCCAATGTTCTGTGAATGTCCTTTTATGATTTGATAACTATGTTCAAACTTCCCCAATGTTTAACTTCTATTTGTTTTCTACCTATAAAATATCTATTTGCTCTCTCTATTTTCTTACCCTAGTTGTTAGTTATTTTTACTTTTCCATGTGTAAATTCTTTTAAACTTTCTCAAATTCCTGAGGAATGAGAAAGAATAAATAATAAATATATACACATATATTAAAATGTCCTTTTAAAAAATGTCCTCTTAACCCTTTATCTGATATGTCATTTGCAACTATCTTTTCCCATTCTGTCGGTTGCCTATTAGTTTTGTGGGTTGTTTCCTTTGCTGTGCAGAAGCTTTTGATCTTGATGAGGTCCCAATCGTTTATTTTTGCTCTTGATTCCCTTGCTTTTGGGGATGTGTCAAGTAAGAAGTTGCTGTGGTGGAGGTCAAAGAGGTTGTTTCCTGCTTTCTCCTCTAAGGTGTTGATAGTTTCCTTCTCACGTTCAGGTCCTTTATCCATTTTGAGTTTATTTTTGTGCATGGTGTGAGAAAATGATCTAGTTTTATTCTTCTGCATGTTGCTGTCCAGTTCTCCATATCATATCAGATAAAGGGTTAATATCCAAAATCTATAAGGAACTCACCAAACTCCACACGCGAAAAACAAACAACCCAGTGAAGAAATGGGCAGAAGATATGAACAGACACTTCTCCAAAGAGGACATCCAGATGGCCAACAGACACATGAAACGATGCTCAGCATCCCTCCTCATCAGGGAAATACAAATCAAAACCACACTGAGATACCACCTCACACCAGTCAGAGTGGCTAAAATGAGCAAATCAGAGAACTCTAGATGCTGGCGAGGATGTGGAGAAACGGGCACCCTCCTACACTGTTGGTGGGAATGTAAACTGGTACAGCCCCTCTGGAAAACAGTGTGGAGGTTCCTCAGGAAACTAACAATAGAACTCCCCTATGACCCAGCAATAGCACTGCTAGGAATTTACCCAAGGGATACAGAAATGCTGAGGCATAGGAGCACATGTACCCCAATGTTCATAGCAGCACTCTCCACAATAGCTAAAACATGGAAAGAGCCTAAGTGTCCATCAACAGATGAATGGATCAAGAAGATGTGGTTTATCTATACCATGGAATACTACATGGCAATGAGAAACAATGAAATCTGGCCATGTGTAGCAACATGGATGGACCTTGAGGGTGTTATGCTGAGCGAAATAAGTCAGGCAGAGAAGGACAAATATCACATGTTTGCACATATAGGAGGATTAGGAGGAACTTAACTGAGGACCATGGGAGAGAAGTAGGGGGAAATGGTGGGGGAAAGGGAGAGAGGCAAACCATGAGAGACTCTTGAATGCTGAGAAACTGAGGACTGATGGATGTGGGGGAGAGGGGGGAGATGGGCATGGAGGAGGACACTTGTGGGTATGAGCACTGGATGTTATGTGGAAACCAATCTGACAATAAACTATTTGTAAAAACATAAATAAATAAAATAAAAAATAAAATATTAAAAGGAAAAAAAAGAAAAAAATGTTCTCTTAGAACTTTAACGTATATCAAAACTGCATTGTCAGAATTTTACTCATGAGATTTTCTTCCTGTCAACTCTTACAGGCTAGTTTTATGCTTAAGAGTCTCTGATCTTAAGAACATTTCTTGTTTCCTGCTGATCATTTTGAAATAGGGTTTATCTAAATTCCTTGTACATATCTAACAATGTCCAGAATCTCTTGTTTGACGATTCTAAACTGTAAAATAACATGATCACCATTTGTGAAATGATTCTTCCCTTCTATTAGTTCTCCTTTATTTAGTCAGAATTAAGCTAGAGTGTATGTTCTTCCCGTAGCTTCTTCTACTTTCTGTGAAAGTAAATTATCAGTAAATCAAAAACATGTAAGATATTCTGCTTTCAGTAAGATGAGAAACACAACAAAAGCCTTTTATATTTACTTACATAGTTATCATCACTGATACTCTGTATTACTTTATATAGACCCAGATTCCATCTGGTAATATTTTCCTCTGCCTGGAAGTCTTTCTTTAACATTTCTTATACTGCAGATCTTTGAAGGATGACTATTTCAGCTTTTATATAAATAAATATATAAAATATATAAATATTTATTTATAAATATATAAATATTATATATTTATATTTAATATATTTCAGCTGTTGTATATTTAAATATTTCTAATATTTCAGCTTATATATATTTGTATATATATTTCAGCTTTACACATATATATTTCAGCTTCAGCTTTTATATAGATATAAACATATATATATATACATAAGTCTTCAATGTGTTTTCATTTTCAAAAGATGTTTTAAGCTGCTATAGGATCATAGTTTGACAACTGTTTTAATACTTAAAAATGTTGTACTGCTGTTTTCTGACTTACATCATTTCCAACAATAAATATGCTGCCATTTATAACTTTGTTCCTCAATACTATACAGCCTTTTTCTCTGGCTCCTTTTAAGAATTTTTTTAAACCATTCTAGTCAATTTGGTGATTATATGCCTTCACATAGTTTCCTTAATGTCTTGTGCTGCAACCTTGTAGAGCTTCATGGATATGTCAGTTTTTATAAAGCTCTGATCAAAGTATAGAAATTTTCATTTATTGTTCCTGAAAATATTTTTTAATATTTTTTTAATGTTTTAGTTATTTTTGAGAGATAGAGACAGCATGAGCAGGGGAGGGTCAGAGAGAGAGTGAGTCACAGAATCTGAAGACAGGCTCAGGCTATGAGCTAGCTGTCAGCACAGACCCCAACACGGGGCTCGGAGCCACAAACAGTGAGATCATGACCGTGAGATCATGACCTGAGCTGAAGTCGGACACAGCCAACTGAGCCACCCAGGCACCCCTGAAAATATTTTTATGACCTCACACTCTTTCTCTTCCTTCAAGGACTCTAATTACACATATATTAGGCCATCTCAAAACTTTACTGATATTTTATTCACTATTTTTGTCTTTTTTCTCACTGTATTTCCTTTCAGATAGTTTCTACTATCAGTGTCTTTAGGTTCACTAATCTTTTCTTCTGAACATCTTAATCTGTTGTTAATGAGAGTGTACTTTTTTTAAATGTTATACTTGCCATCTCTGGAGCTTCAATTTGTGTCTTTTTATTTGTGCCATTTCTCTACTCAATTTACTCAATCTTTCATCCACCTTTTTGAATACATGAAATATACTTATAACTGTTTTATATCTTTGTCTACTATTTCTGTCATTTGTGTAATTTTGGTCTTTTACTATTGATTTTTTTTCCTGATTCTAGGTTATGGTTTCCTGCATCTTTGCATACCTATTTTTTTTTTTTATTGGATGTCACACTCTGTGAATTTTATCTTCTTGGACATTGAATATTTTTTAATTCTTATTAGTATATTTGAGATTTGTTTTGGGATGCAGCAGTCTAGTAAGGAAAAAATATATAAAAGATAAAACATTTGGAGAAACAATATAAACTATCATTCACAGGTGGCATAATGTGCTTGAGGAAACTTTTTTTTAACTAATTAATAAATTAGTAGAATTAATCATTTAATTTAGCAAGCCATAAGGATCATTGGTAAAGCAAATCTTCAATAAAGATTATTATATTTTTTATACCAATACCAGAAAGCTAAACAATGAAAATATTTAAAAGGCACCATTTAAAATAGAATTTGAAAACATGAAATACTAAATAAAAAGGAAGAAATCAAATAATAATGGGTAAAACTTATACACAAAAATCATAAAACCACAAGAGCATTTAAAGTAAACAAATTACTCTCCAAAAATAGTGAGGCAATTTTATTTCTATTTTTTTATTTTATTTTATTTTTAATGGAGCAATTTTAAAATGAAGATATATATTTAAAGAAATATATAACATCTTCAAAGAAATAAAGAATTAGGTCCATTTTTAAAAAAGAAATTACAAGCATAGTTGCAAACCAAATTAATATTTATTCACATGCCATAAGTTATCATATAAAAATGATTTCAATAATAATAGATGGCTTAAAATAATGAGGCATATATGGCACATGTAACTGTTACAAACCGTACGTCTTGGTATTAGATATAAAGAATATTATTTTGGAATTCACAAATTACCTTATAATCAGCAGGACCAGGAGCAGTAAAAGCTTCTTTCTGAACCACGAAGAGAGTCCGAGGAACAGAAGAACCAAATGCACTTTTCTTTTTTTTCTTCAAGCAAATATTGCTAGTGTTGTCAGTATTGTTTAGGATATTATAAAACCCAGGACCTAAAATCATGAGGAATATCCTATGTAAGAATAAACATGCTTTTTATTCTTTTAAGCTGAATAAGTTTAAGTAAAATATTTTTTGAAAGAACTCGTATATTACTAGCAAGAATGTAGAATAGTGTGACATTCTGAGAAACAATTTGTCAAATTCTTGTAAAGTCAAAAACATACTTAGTATATGACCCAGAAATTCTACCCAGGTATTTTCCCCCTAAAATAGAATATAACCTAAATGTCCATCAGCCAGTGAAAAAAAAAGTTTTATACCCAAACAATGGAATACTACTCAGCAATAAAGAGAAATATAAATACAACAATATGAATGAACCTCAAAAACATGATCCCAAGTGAAAGAAGAAAGACACAAAATCCTGAATTATGTATGTTCCATTTATTTGAAATTCCGGAAAATGCAATATCATAGTGACAGTAACAGTAGCCTGGAGAGAGTGGAGATTAACTGCAGAGGGGAACGAGAGAACATTTAAAAAATGATGGAAATGTTCTGAAACTTAATTGTAGTGGTGGTTACCTGACTACATACATTTACCAAAACTCATCAAACTTTACACTTAAAATGAATTATTTTATGTGTAAATTATATCTCAATAAAGGAGAAAGAAACAAAGAAAGAAAAGTATGTCTAAAAGTATTGAAAAGTTAATATAGCAACAATAAAAATTAATTTGGGGGGGAAAATCACCTATCATCCAATATTTCTATCACAGCAGTTATTTTATTTTTGCTTTTTACCTCTCAGGACATATTTATAGCCAGAAATATTTTCTACCGTGGCAATCCAAGTAACATTTTTTTTCATTCTAAATCAAACTTTCTATGTCATTAGAAAAAAGTTTTATGAAAACATTAAAATATTTGAAACAAATATTTTATAATTTTACAAAACAAATGTTTTATAATTCAGTAATTTTAAGAAATCAGTTCCAGGAAGCAACAATATCCATAAAATGCAATATATACTTGAAAGAACATTTAACCTGGTTGTATTCATGTACCTGAATTCTACTAAATTAGCTCTGCAACTAAATAGGTATAAGATGTACTTTCAATCGCATTTGTTTTTCTGGGCTTCAAGTTCTTTCTGAAGATACAGAAATTGACTAGATCAATACTACTCAAAATGTGGTCTATGGGCTGTTGCTAGTCCAAAAATAATCCTCAGGAAAAGGAACTTAAAATTAAATGTAGATTGACTATTTCCTAGGCATTTTATAACTAGTCCTCCATAAAGGAAGCACTGTATTGATTTACATTTTGGTGCAATCTCCTTTCTCATTGTAGATAAGAAACAAGTTGTTGACAAGTGAGCACTTTGAATAGTATGAGGCTATGATACTTTAGGTGCTTTCTGGACTAAAAGTGATTGAATCATTATACATAGTAAAATAAAAGATTTTTCTCAAACAAGCTACCTAAATTTTTCCCAATCTTTCATATATTCCAGTTCCAACATCTATTCCTCATAAGCTTCTCCCAGGGGTGCCTGGGTGGCTCAGTTGGTTAAGCAACTGACCCTTGATTTCTACTCAGGTCATGATCTCATGGTTCATGAGGTCAAACTCTGCCTTGGGCTCTGTGCAGACAGTGCAGAGCCTGCTTGGGATTCTCCCTCTCCCTCCCTCTCTATCTCTCCCCTGCTCGTTCTCTCCCCCTCCCTCCCTCTACCCCTCCCTTCTTCCTTCCCTCTTAGATAGATAGATAGATAGATAGATAGATAGATAGATAGATAGACAATTTTTTTTTAAAGTCTCTACCAAAGAGTCTCTTGTGCCAACTCTCAGAAAACCTAAATGCTTCTATGGTTTACTCTTGCAATCTTCATAATTCCCTCCACTAGTAATGTTTAAAAAAAAGGGTAAATAGAAAGTGTGATAAAAACTATTTGGACCACCATTTCAGGTAATTAAAAGACAAGTATCTCAGATCTGACTCTTTTCTGGCACGAGGATACAATAAAAAACACTACAGCTTAAGTGTTTAAATACAGGGACCTCGCTCACAGTGTGTACATTGCAAGTACTACCTGATTTGAAAAACCATCCTGATTATGTAATTCACTCACATTAGAGGTTTTTCATATTCATTTTCCAGTCTGTAAGTGTAGAAATGCCAAGGAACCCCGAAGTTAGACAGTTTAGGGTTACCTTCTAACAGTAATCTGTAAATCTATGACTGATGGGTCCAATTCATTACTATGCCTAATCTCTACATAAGAAAAATTAAAAAAAAATAAAAACCCTCAAAATTCCTTGAGGCCATTCTCACTGATTCTTTAAACATGTAAGATATGGGACTGGATTGGAGGAGTCATCAAAATTGTATGTAATCCTTTAAAAATTAACCTTTGTAAAATCTATAATATTTTAGTCATAATACACTGGGCCATCAAATTGAAAACAAAACCCAATCTTAAGGCAGTTGGGTCAATCAATAAGCTCATTTATAGAAATAATTTGGATTTCAGATTCATGATAAACACACTGAGCTAGGCTCGGGTGGGGTAGTGCCAAACACTTACACATGGCTTCTCCAGAACCGCAGTCTTAGAACAGTCAGACTTCATAGAGGCTCTAGACTCCAAGACCAATTGTTTCAACTCAGCCAGGTGTATGGTGTAAAGCTTATAATTTTGCCTAAGAAGTGTTGTAATATCACTTCCACTACATACCATTTGTCAAAAAAGACACCAGATTAGCCAAGATTGGAAGGGAGAAGAATAAGACTCAACCTCTCAGTGGCATAAATAGTAAATAATTTTGTACCCCTATAAACTCACCATAAAAAAATTACCATAACAAAACTTGTAGCAATGGTTTGGGAAGGGGCAATGGATCAGAAGCTGAAACAACTCAAGGCATAAAGAACGGACCATGAAAGGACTTGGTGATGGCTTAAAAGACAGGAGGAAAATGTTATTGGAGGCTGGAAAAAAGATAACATATTTTGTAATGGCAGAGATTTTAACAATACTAATGCTTGAGACAATAAAGAAAATGCCTAATACATAAGCAGTTTCTAGCTAAGAAAGTTTAAGGGCTGAATATCATCACAAGCACCAACTAACCATTTTCAGCCATGTGTAAAAAGGTATGGAAAGAAATAGATGAGCTAAAACTATTGTTTTCAAGGGGAATTTATAGAAAATTAAAAGAAGGGGTGCCTGGGTGGCTCAGTCGGTTGAGCGTCCAGTTTTGGCTCATGTCATGACCTCGCGGATTGTGGGTTCGAGCCCCGCATCGGGCTTTGTGTTAACAGCTAGCTCAGAGCCTGGAGCCTGCTTTCTGTATCTCCGTCTCTCTCTGACCCTCCTCTGCTCATGCTGTGTCTCTCTCTCTCTCTCCCTCTCTCTCTCTCTCTCTCAGAAATAAATAAAAACGTTAATAAAAAGGTTTAGAAAGTGAAAAGAAATCAAGATTTTCTAGATTTAAAAGTAAAACTCTTTTTCATCCCATCTCTCTATACAGCAAAAAGCTCTCAAAGCAAGAAATGGTCTGAGAGCAAAGACCTCAGAAAGATTTAAGATGGTACCTCATAGAATCTCTCAATGAAAGAAAAGGGCTCCTATGAATTTTAAGGCCAAATGTCAAAGACCCTCTTGGCTAAAATAATAGTGCTCCTTAGAATCTAAGAAAATGGAAACAGCAGCACCAAAGGAGACCCAAAGTAGTGAAAGGTTCTTCTAAGAAGAATGTGGCTTCTGTCCAGTGTATTTTATGAGAAGTCAATACAATAAGACACAAAGTTTTTATAAGGAATTGTACAAACTTGGAAGAAAAGGGACAACAGTACAAAATGAAAAGTGGCTATAGACCCCAATCTTCTATAGACAGGAAGGAGGCCGAAAAAGCTCAAACTACAAACATAGCCTATTTCTTCGGAATATTTTTTTCTTGCTTCTTGAAGTAGGCTTGTATTGCGATATACTTCCCTCTTAGGAATAATTTTGCTGCATCCAAAGGGTTTTGAACCATTGTGCTTTCATTTTCATTTGTTTCCATGTTTTTTTCTTTCTTCATTTTTTTTTCTTTTTGTTTATATTTGAGAGGCAGAGAGTGACACAACACAAGCAAGGGAGGGGCAGACAGAAAGGAAGACCCAGAAGCAGAAGCAGGCCCCAGGCTCCGAGCTGTCAGGACAGAGCCCAATGTGGGGCTTGAACCCACCGACCATGAAATCATGACCTGAGCAGAAGTCAGATGCTCAACCGACTGAGCCACCCAGGCGCCCCTTCTTTTTCTTTTGTTTTTGTTTTTTCTTTCTTTGATTTCCTGATTAACCCATTCATTCTTTATGTTGTTAATTAATTCATGTTATTTTAACCTCCATTTGGTCTTCCCAAATTTCTCCCTGTGGTTGATTTGTAGTTTCATAATGTTGTGGTCAGAAAAAGTACATGGTATGATTTCAATCTTTTTGTATTTATTGAGGCCTGTTTTGTAACCTAATATGTAATTTACTCTGGATAATGTTCCATGTGGTGCATTTGAAAAAAAACCAAAACTGTGTATTCTGCTGTTTTAGGAAAGAAAGTTCTGAAATGCATTTAAGCCCATTTGATCCAGTGTGTCATTCAAAGCCATTGTTCCTTGTTGATGTTCTGTTTAGATGATCTGTCCATTGATGTCAATGGGGTGTTGAAGTTCCCTACTATTATTGGATTATTATAAATTAGTTCTTTTTCTTTGTTATTGTTTTATATATTTGGATCTTCCATGTTGGGTGCATAAACATTTACAATTGTTATATCTTGTTGGATTGTCCCTTATGACTATATAGTGTATTTCTTTGTCCCTTTCTAGAGTCTTTGGTTGTTGTTTTTTTAAATATTTATTTATTTTGGAGAAAGAGAGACAGAGCATGAGCAGGGGAGAGGCAAAGAGAGGGAGACACAGAATCTGAAGCAGGCTCCAGGCTCTGAGCTGTCAGCCCAGAGCCTGACATGGGGCTCGAACACACAGACTGTGGACTGTGAGAGCATGACCTGAGCCAAAGTTGGACACTCAATCAACTGAGCCACAGATGCCCTTAAAGTCTTTGTTTTAAAGTTAGTTTATCTGATACAGGTATTGCTACTCTGGCTTTCTTTTGACATTTATTTGTATGATAAATACTTCTCCATCCTCTTACTTTCAATCTGCAGGTGTCTTTAGGGCTAAAATAAGTCTCTTGTAGGTCATATATAGATACGTCTTTTTTTTTCTTTCTTTAATCGATTCTGACACCCTATAGCTTTGATTGGAGCATTTAGTCCATTTATAGTCAAAATAACTATTGATAGATATGTATTTATTGCCATTTTATTACTTGTTTTGTCATGGTTTCTGGAGATTTTCTCTGATCCTTTCTTGTCTTTGTCACTTTGGTCTCTCCTTTGCATTCAAAGATTTCCCTTTAACATTTCTAGTATGGCTGGTTTAGTGGCCATGAATCCCTTTAGTTTTGTTTGTCTGAGAAACTCTGTATCTTTACTCCTATTCTGAATGATAGACTTGCCGGATAGAATATTCTTGGCTACATATTTTTCCCATTCAGCACAATGAATGTACCATACCACTCCCTACTGGAGTGCCCAATTTCTGTTGAGAAATCTCCAGCTAGTCTTATGGGTTAAGAACTTCTTTTGTCTTGCTGCTTTTAAGATTTTCTTCTTCACTACTATATTTTGCAAATTTAATTACAATATGTCTTGGTGTAGGCATGCTTTTGTTGATTTTGATGGGGGTTTTCTGTTCTTCCTGCATCTGGGTATCTGTTTCCTTCCTCAGATTAGAGACATTTTCTGCTATTATTTCTTGAAATAAATTTTCTGGCCCCTATGCTCTCTCTTCTTCTTCTGGCACTCCTGTATAATAAATGTTATTACATTTGCTGAGTTGGAGTTGCTGAGTTCCCTAAGTCTATTCTCATGTTACATAATTCTTCTTCTCTCTTTTGTTCAGCTTCATTATTTTTTATTACTGTGTCTTCTAGGTCACTAATTAATGCCTCTACTTCTTCCAGCTTGCTATTCTTTATCTAAGCTCATTTCCAATCTTGTTTATTGCATTCTTCTTCATTGATTCTTTTTGAACTCTTTTATCACTGTAGTAAGGGCCTATCTATCTAATGTCTTCTATTCTTTTCTCAAGCCCAGTGAGTATCTTCATGATTGGTGCTTTAAATTCTTCATCAGGCATATGTGTGTGTGTGTGCATAAACATATATATATATATATATATATATATATATATATATATATGTTTGATCTCTGGCTGTGGCCTTACCTTGTTCTTTCATTTAGAATAATTCCTCCATCTTGGCATTTTGTCTAAGTCTCTGCCCTCTTCTCTGTGTTAGAAAACATAGTTATGTCTCCTGCTCCTAAAAGTAATAGCCTTATAAAGAAGAGGTATGTAGCGTCCAGGGCAGGGCACTTCTGGTGTGTCCTGTGTGTGTTCTGCTGCTGTGTTTTGGCTGCTCTGTCCTTCAGGCCAGTCATCTGCAGAGGCTTTCTTTGTCTGCTGTGGACGGTGTTTGATCCCTAGCATGAATGTGGCAAGTTTTAACTAGCTATGCTCTGAGATGATTGTGAAATGAGAATTGATACTGACTCTACCAGAACTGAGGACTTGCAGAATTTTCTAGTCAGGAGACATGGTATGGGCAAGGGTCTCTGCTAGTCTTTCTGAGGAAGGGCTTGCCACACTGAGACTGAGGCAACCTTGACTGAGAAGGGCAGTCCCTCCAGAACATGAGGGGTGGGTCTTTGTGTACTCAAGTTAGGCAGCCAGAAACACAGCCTACTTCTTATAGAAAAGAAAGGAAGGGGATGCCTGCATGGCTCAGTCAGTTGAGCATCTGACATCAACTCAGATCATGATCTCACGGCTCATAAGTTCAAGCCCTGCATCAGGCTCTGGACTGACAGCTCAGAGTCTGGACCCTGCTTTGGATTCTGTGTCTCCCTCTCTCTCTACCCACCCCCCACTCATGCTCTGTCTCTCCCTCTCAAAAATAAAAATTATTTCTTAAAAAAGGATGATTCAAAAGATGGACCCAAGAGTCCAAAAGGTAAAACAAAGAACCTTGGAAAATCATTCCCATAGAGCCAAATTGGGCCCTAATCAAGGAAACGACAAATGTGCTGGGTTAGATTTCAGAATTGCTATAGGGCTATAACTGCTATAGACTTCTAGTTTTCTCCTTTCTGAATAGAAGCATCTACTATGATTATCCTCTTTCTCCCATCACTGTGCTTTGGAATAGGACAGGTAATATGTATCTTTAGTTCATAGCTCTTCTCATAATGAGAAGTCATACTCAAAGCTGATCTAAAGTACCAAACCCAAGAATTCTCACCAATAACTATACATATCCTTAGATAACAAAACTCTGGACCTCAAGATTACACCATAATTTCATGAGACTTTGGAGGCCTTGAAAAGGCATGTAGGACAACTGTAAATATTTTGTGGTCATAGGGTAGTCTATAGTAAATTAAAGATGGCCACAAATCCTGTCATTGAGAGATGAAGTTTCAGGTTCTTCTGTTCAATATGTGCTACTCTGAGTGATCTGATTAACTAACAGATGTGGGATTTCTGACATTAGGTTATAAGAAGCATTGTACAATGCTTCCAGGTCCTGTGGAGCCCTGAGCTACCAAATTAAAAGACCAATGACTCTGGGGCAGCAATGCTAAAGTTATGCATGCACTCTGAATGACAGTCTCATCTGAGCTCTGCCTTCCAGCCATCCCACAAAATATAAGATACAATTGAAAACTCTATGTTTTTAAGCCACTAAGTTTGTTATGCAGCAACACATAATTATATGTTAGCATTTACTTAAGTGATTTTATGTGCTGTATTCTTAGCTCTATATACTAGAATACCCAGTGAGAATATTAGAATATGTGATAGAATATCCCCAAAACAAAATCATAACAAAAGTGCATATCATAAGTTAAATTACTGGCAGTGACCACATAGTTAATATATATGTTCATCCATCAAGAGAAATTAGGAAATTTACTGAATAAAGAAAAACAATAGAAAATTACAATTAAGATATGTAACATGTTAAATTGAAATCTTACTAAAATTGTACATTACTTTTAATCTATCTGTATTTAGTATATAGTCAATACTTTAAAAATATGACTGAAAATGACAACAAACCACAGAACAAAAAAATGTACTTTCTTGTTACATCTATCTTGTTAAGAATATTAAGTTATATAAATACATGGATTAATTGCTAACCTGGCATTTCCTCTGTCCTGGAGTCCTGTGTGAATCGAGCAGCAGTCTGACCAAATGGGGTATTTTTCAGTCCTGGTGTTTTCTTCAAGGAATTGAAAGCAGTTCGAGATTCATTATATGTGCCAGGAGCTGGGGTGATTGATTTCATAGGTACAAATCTCTGGTAAAGAAGAGGAAAATATGCCAATGAGAAACTATAATATATTTTGATATTTCCTAAATTAAAAGCTGCCATCTTACTAATATAACATCTGGAGTTTAATTAATTCTTAAAGGAGTGAAGAAAATATAGTAGAATTAAGATCTTGTACCTATCAAAACATAAAATATATAGCTCTTAGTAAAATCATATATATAGTAACATACTAATGCATTATGTATTTTACTAAGCCAAATAGACTTTTTTGAAGGAAGTTATCTCAAGATGAGATTCTAGATGATAATGTGTGGACAATCTTCACATTTATAAGATAAAAAATAAAAATCTGTATGATCTAACATGATTTCTTTTATGTAATAAAATTATATAGATGATAAAGTTTCTCAACATATCTTTCAATTAACTCCACAATATCATTAAATATCTTTTTTTAAAAAATCTTAGATTTAAGTGATATATAAATCCAATTTAGCTTATAATTTTAAACTTATTTAATTACAAACTTATAAAAAGGTTATTATAAACATAATATTTAACTTCTTAATATTAAATATATATGTATCTATATGTATAACTGAACTCTTAAGAAATATAGCTCTGTATAATCTTTTTTTAACTTTTTACTTGAAATAAATTTCAAATTTACAGAAAAAAATTGTATGAATAAAAATAATTCAGAAAATACACATATAATATTTACCCAGATTCACCCATTGTTAACATGCTATGCCATTTGTTTTCATTTGCTTACACTCTCTGTTTCTGTCTCTTTATTTTAGTATACCCATTCCTTCCTCTATTTGTCTCCCTGTGTGTGTCTCTATGTGCATGCACACACATACACACACACATGCAGCATATATATAGAATCAGTAAATGGAAAGTTTTATCATGGGCCTTTACCCCTAAATACTTTGGTGTGTATTTACCACAAATATTGACTTTTTTACATATCTTAAGTATAGTTATCAACTTCAGTAAATGTACAATTATATAATGCTTTAATCAACTATTAATATTCCAAACTGTCAGTTGATCTAATAATTAATAATGCCTCTAATCCATTTTTTCTCCTTCAGTATATAATCTAGTCTAGGTTCGGATACTGCTTTTAGCCTCTTTCAATGTAAGAACATTTCTAAAACCTTCCTTTGTGTTTTGTGACTTTGGAAGAATATAGCACCCCTCTTTTGTATAAACGAAACTTCCTTACTTGGGCTTCTCTGATTCTTCCTCATGATTATATTCAAGTTATGCATTTCTAGGCAGCATACTAAATAGGTGGTGTTGTAGCTTCCTCAGAGTATCATATATAAAGGTACATGATGTCCCTGAATGCCAATGGTGATATTAATTTTATGAAATTGAATACTCTCTCTATGCTTATTAGTAAGCACTCAGCATTTTACTATAAGCAAGAGCCCTCTCTTCTCCCACAATTATTCATTTTATTTTTATCTACTTATTTATACACTTATTATTCATATGGAAATATAAATGCCAGTTTAAACTATTTATAATTCACTACTGTGTTGTGGTTTTGTTTTGTTTTGTTTTGATTTTACTGAGTAGGGAGGCAATCAAGTTGGTTCGTATGTCCTTATGATATGCCATCATCTTTTTCTTGAGACTTTATTTTTTATTTCATGACATAAGAAGATGTTACAGGTTCATCTTCTACCTACTTTGCCCAATCCCTGCTTCTTGGCTTATTTAGCAGACAAAGCTAGAATATATATATATATATATATATATATATATATATATATATATGTTTCTATTCCTATTTCCATATCTGTACACATACACACATACTCAGGGACACATATACCCATATACATATATGTGCATGTATGTGCATATACACATACATATGTACACATTACAAATCATGAGTTCACATTAAACCTTCAATTCAAATCTATCACACATGGTCCTTTCTCACCTCCCCCAATCCATATTTGTATGTACCTTCTTTCAATGAAAATCCAATTCAATATTGACTTTTTTGCTCAACCCTGTAATAAAACTAAAAGTTTTGTGATTGTTTCACCCATACCATTATTATAAACTAATCTCTCTCTTAAAAATAAAAAAACTTAAAAAATATTTACAAGAAAAGTGACATTTAAGCAAATTAGAAACAGACATGAATGGGACAAAGCATACTGACAAAATAATGGGTAAAATAAAATGAAATAAAATTATAATATTAACAATAACATGCAAAGGTGAATATCCGAATTGAAACCATACATTAAAAATTTTCTCCACCTAAATCCATAAAACACCTAGGAATGAATCTACCCAAAGAGATGAAAATCTATACACTGAACACACTATAGAAAGCTTATGAAAGAAACTGAAGAAGACACAAAAAAATGGAAAAATATTCCATGCTCCTGCATAGGAAGAACAAACATTGTTAAAATCTCAATACTACCCAAAACAATCTACATATTAAATGCAATTCCTGTCAAAATAACACCAGCATTCTTCACAGAGCTAGAACAAACAATTCTAAAATTTGTATGGAACCAGAAAAGACCCCGAACAGCAAAGCAATCTTGAAAAAGAAAACCAAAGCAGGAAGCATCACAATCCCAGAATTCAAACTCTATTAAAATGGTGTAATCATCAAGACATTATGGTACTGGCATAAGAACAGACACTCAGATCAATGGAACAGAATACAGAACCGAAAAATGGACCCACAAACATGGCCAACTCATCTTTGACAAGGCAGGAAAGAATACACAATGGAATAAAGACACTCTCTTCAGCAAGTGATGCTGGGAAAACTGGACAGCGACATGCAGAAAAATGAACCTGGACCACTTTCTTACACCATACACAAATATAAACTCAAAATGGATGAAAGACCTAAATGTAAAACAGGAAGCCATCAAAATCGTCAAGGAAAAAGTAGGCAAGAACCTCTTTTTCCTTGGCCACAGTGACTTCTTAACACGTCTCTGGAGGCAAGGGAAATGAGCAAAAATGAACTATTGGAACCTCATCAAAGTAAAAAGCTTCTGCACAGCGATGGAAACAATCAGCAAAACTAAAAGGCAACCGACGGAATAGGAGAAGATATTTGCAATGACATAGCAGATAAAGGGTTGGTATCCAAAATCTATAAAGAACTTATCAAACTCAACACCCAAAAAACAAATAATCCAGTGAAGAAATGGGCTAAGGACATGAACAGATATTTCTCCAAAGAAGACATCCAGATGGCCAACAGAAACATGAAACAATGCTCAACGTCATTCATCATCAGGGAAATACAAATCAAAACCACAATGAGATACCATCTCACACCTGTCAGAATGTCTAATGCGAACAACCCAGGCAACAACAGATGCTGGCAAGGATACAGAGAAAGAGGATCTCTTTTGTACTGCTGGTGGGAATGCAAACAGGTGTAGCCACTCTGGAAAACAGTATGGAAATTCCTCAAAAATTAAGAATAGAACTACTCTATGACCCAGCAATTGCACTACTAAGTTATTTACCCAAAGGATACAGGTATGCTGTTTCGAAGGGACACATGGCAGTCCAATCTTTTTAGCAATGCTATCAACAATAGCCAATGTATGGAAAGAGACCAAATGTCCATCAATGGATGAATGGATATAGAAGGTGTGGTGTGTGTACACACACACACACACACACACACACACACACACACACACACACAATGGAGTATTACTCAGCAATCAAAAAGAATGAAATCTTGCCATTTGCAACTACATGATTGGAACTAGAGGGTATCATGCTAAGTGAAATTAGTCAGTCATAGAAAGGCAAGTATCATGAATTCACTCATATGAGGACTTTAAGATACAAAACAGATGAACATAAGGGCAGGGAAGCAAAAATAATATAAAAACAGGGAGGGGACAAAAACATAAGAGATTCTTAAATATGGAGAACAGAGGATTACTGAGGGATTGTAGGAGGGGAAAGGGCTAAATGGGTAAGGGGCATTAAGGAATCTACTCTTATGACAGCTAGCTTAAAGCCTGGAGCCTGTCTTCCAATTCTGTGTCTCCGCCTCTCTCTGACCCTCCCCTGCTCATGCTGTCTCTCTCTCTCTCTCAAAAATAAACATTTAAAAAATGTAAAAACAATTTTCTATTAAGTTTGTATATGTGAATGTTCAGATTAGCTTATAAGAGATGTACTCTGAGTTTTAAAAAATACTTTGCCAGGGAACCTGTATGGCTCTGTCAATTAAGTAGCTCAATTCATGATCTCATGGTTTTTGAGTTCAAGCCCCGTGTTGGGCTCTGTGCTGACAGCGTGGAGACTGCTTGGGATTCTCTCTCTCCTCCCTCTCTCTCTCTGCCCCTACCCTGATCACACTCTCAAAATAAATAAACTTTAAAAATTAAATAATTAAATGATTAAATGATACTTTGCCAATGAATATGTGGACTTTTAAAATGTGATCTTTGAGGACATGCATATCTTTCAGAGAAGGTTCTGAAGGCTCTCTGTGGAGGGTAGGGATAGATCATATCTACCACTGCCAGTAGGGTCTTTATTTGTGATGCAAGAGTCTATTTCACAGTAATCGTATCACATTATCCAGGATATACACTAAGGCAACTGAAAGGTATCTAAGATATTTCTGTGGCAATTTAATACTAGCAAACTTTTATAATGTGGCAGCCTCCAGATCAAAGAAGTTGTAATATTTATCCAACTGCATTTGTACAGCTCTGATTATTTTCTCTTAGCTCAGGAAGATTATGAACCTTCAGATGATTACACATTACTACTTTGGTTTCATTTTATGTAAGAGGTACCTCCTTAAGACAATTAGATGGATTGCAAGTATATTTTGGAGACATAACTAACACAGCTTTTAATGAATTACATGTTGTGGTGAGGGACAAGGAAGAATCAAGAATGAATACCAGGTTTCTCCTTTGAGCAACTTGATAGTGCTTAAGGTACTATCCAACATGATTGTGTAAGAACAGGATACT